CTTGCATGACTGTGGGGGCCAGAGGTCAACATCTAGGGGTGTTCAACTACCTTCCTGCCTTAGCTTTTGAGGCAGGGTTTCTGACTGAATCTGGAGCTTACAGACTGGCCTAGGCTGGCCTGTCTCCATCAGCACTGGGATTGCATGTGTATTTGGCTGGGCCTGGCTTTTACATGGGTGCAGAGCAAGCAGCAAACAGAGTCACACTAGCACCCTATAAGATACTCTTCTAAAAGCAGACATTTCTATAGCAGCTAATGAGTAAACTACGAGGTCAAGTGCAACTGTCACAAAAACAGAATCAATGATCTTCACTAAATCAGCCTACGGAATTCCCACCTTAGCTCCCCAAGTGCTGGGATTATAGATGTGTGCTGCCACACCAGGCTTTCTGGCTCTTTTGTATCTACTTAACCGTTAAAGGCAAGTGGTGAGGCTGGAGAGATGGCTCATATGTTAAGAGCATTTGCTGCTCTTGCAGGGGACCTGGATTTGATTCCCAGCAGCACATTGTGGCTCCCACCACTCCTATTGCTCTCTGTTTCCCTGGACACCAGTCATGCACATGGTACACATTCACATAGGCAGACATTCAGACACATAAAATCAAAATACGTTCTTAAAGGCAAATGGTCTAATCCTTTTTACATTTACAAAGCATTTCCAGGATTGCCTGACAGCACAATAGCCAGGATTGCTACATTTGATACTCAGATGCCAGATATGGTAGGTAGTATCTTTCCCTACAAGATGGCTCTAAAAAAACCTGAAACTCACCAGGAGTGATGTTGCCTCTATTTTTTGTTTGTTTGTTTGTTTTCAAGACAGGGTTTCTCTGTGTAGCTTTGGAGCCTATCCTGGCACTTGCTCTGGAGACCAGGCTGGCCTCGAACTCAGAGATCTGCTTGCCTCTGCCTCCCGAGTGCTGGGATTAAAGGCGTGTGCCACCAATGCCCAGCTATGTTGCACAGGCACATCTCTGAGTTTGAGGCCAACATGGTTGACACAGTGAGTTCTGGGCTGGCCAGGGCAATACAGGGAGACACTATCTCAAGCAAACAATGCAAAATTAAAAACCTTAAACCTGTGCAATCTGAAAAGCAACAGCTGCATTCAAAGGTCCTTACAGTTTGTTTGCACAGGGTCTTATTTCATAGTTTTGGAACTTGCTATATTACACAGGCCAGCCTCAATCTTGCACTGATCCTCCTGTCTCAATCTCTTGAATGCTAGGATTATAGGTTTGTACCATGACATCAGCCTTTTAGTAACTTTTATATTCAAAATGAATGTTCATATCATTTTGTATATTCTAATTACTACTGAATTTGAAAATAAAGATAGGACTAAGAACAGAAGTCCCTCTCCCCACTTACTTATTTATCTGTGTGTTAAGTACGTGAAAGTCAGAGGACACCTTTTGGGAGTTGATTTCTCCTACCATGTGAACTCAGGATCAAACTCAGGGTGTCAGATTCAGTGGCAAGATCGTTACCCACTGAGCCATTTAGCCAATCCTAAGGTTTTTTGTTGTAGTTTGTTTTCCACAGCCTAGGCTAGCCTCAAGTTTACTGCAATCCTCCTGTTTCAGCCACTGGGTGCTGGGGTTAGGCACGTGTTACATCCGGGTTAATCTTTGTACAAGAGGAAAGCCTCTCAACTATTTATTCACCACAGCTGAGATTATTCCTTAATGAGAGAAACCACTTTAAAAAGATTGCATATGGGCTAAAGAGATGGCCAGCAGTTTAGAGCACTTATTCTTTCAGAAGACCTGGGACCCAGCACCTACATGGCAGCTAACAGCTCTCTGTAACTCCTGTCCCACAGGGTCGGTTGGTTGTCTTCTAACTCTACAGGCCCAGGCACTCACATCTCACACAAACATACACTCAGGCAAAACACCCATACACATAAGATAAAAAATTACAAATAAGCCTTTTTTTAAAAAAATCCCATAAATTAGCTCCAACAAAGGCCCTGTATCAGAGAATCGCAAGCCTTGGAGGCTTTGTAATATACTAAAAAGGCACATTAAATATATAATGCTGGCCCCACTGTTTTAGTGATCGAAACAACAGCTGAAAGTCAGTTTAGGACAAATGCTACTGTTCTATTTGTCTGAAAATGCTATATACATATCACTACCTTGACGTGCTGATCCTGTTTCTAAAACCTCGAGTCCTAGATATGTGTCATCAAGCTTAATTTTGAAAATGGAATTTCTAAAACCTTATCTATTATTATTATGTCTTTGTGTGTATGATGTATGTGTGTATTCGTATGTCTTACTTCTAAGTGTGTAGGTCAGAGGACAACTCTGCAGGGCCAGTTCTCCTATACCTTTAAGTGGGAATTGAGCTCAGGCTGCCAGGCTTCCGAGGCTAGTGGTGTTACCTGTTAAGCCATCTCTCTGGGCTGAAAACAAGATTTCTAAAGGAAAGCTTATTAACTAAAATCTTGAAAAGTCCTGCAGACAGTGTTGCCTCTTTAACCTACATTCTTCGTTTTCCAACTTTCAATGTTTTAAAATGGAAGTAAACACATCTCAACAGCCTTAAATATTTTCATGTATTTTATTTTTTAAAACACTTATAATTTTGCAAGCTAGCAGTAAAATATTGCCTTCAATATTTTACTAATTAGCACCATATACCTTTTAAAGCTAACTGGAACATTGTTTCACTGTAAATGATTGTAAAATATCAAATTATTCTCAACATGATTATTAATTAAATTAAATCATTAATTTTTGGCCTTACGTGCACTTTAAAGATGAATTTAACTACATTAATATATTTGCCAATCTAAAAAAGTCAAAGTATCATAATTTAAAGCAGTATTTAATTTCTGAAATTATTCTAAAGAACCATATAAGGAAATTGAGAAATCAGCTATAAAAACAAAAGGTCATTCCTTTACTTTTTAGAAATCTCTTAATTTTTGGAAGAATAAAATAACTCGGTGAAAAAGTCCTTTGGTGCAAAGATCAGTTAAACATATTGTTTAGTACACATTACCATTTTCATGCTTTGCTTATTAGCAGCCTTACCAAAAAGCCACGGAAAGGTCTGGAACAACTCACAGGGACAGCTGGAAGGCTGAAATAAAATTGCTTAGTGCTAAAAAAGATTCCAATCACTCATAAAGTTTTAAATGGAAGCCTAGACATTTAACAGCTATGTTTTAATGTTCTCATCTGAAAAAAACAATCTTTCAAAAAAGTAGAAAAAAAAATCTAATCATACTCAAATTCCATACATTTAAAAAAAGGATATTTTTGTTTCCTATATTCTGATAAAAGCGTTAAAGTTCAGAGCCACAACTGACTGCTCACTAGCACGCCTGTCTTGCATACCGGTAGAATCAAATCCAGTTTTGCCATCTGTGGATGACTATGACAAGATACAAAAGCATGTGTTTGCCATAAATAGCTCTGGCTAATAGCAAAGTGCGCACACTGAGGAGATCAAATTCTCTATAAGGAGAGCACTCTGGACCACAGCCAAATCCCATTGCTAATGTTTAAGACTGCTATACCAATTTTTTTCCAATTCAATTTAGAAAATATATTAAGGAATCATAGCTGAAATGAACATTCCTAAACATCAGAATCATTATTAAACCTTTGGATGACATTTCACAACTTATTTTCATTATGATCAAGTAATAAAAACATCCTATTTCTACTTCTCAAAAAAATTATTTAGTAATGTAACTGTGAATTAATATCCTAATTTATATAGAGAACAAATAAGATACTGGAGTATGCTAAAGTGCAAAAAAAAATTCTGATCTCCATAACATAAGGAAATAAATAAACATATTTGTAAAAGTACTACCTTTTTAATGATTATATATAAGTGATTTTAAGATATTTTTAAACCAAAGAAATTCAACAATCTGGAGACACATAAGTGTTATATTAAAGAAAATCTCAAATACCAGTGTAGAGATTAATCGATGTTTACCCTAAAATTTCACATGACAATTTGCAAAATTTCCAAGGAAAACAAGGCAACGTTCTGTAATATGCCACAATTTTTATTGCAACGTGGCCACTTTTGTGAGGGTAGGGAATTTGATCTCAAAACAATGTTCCATTTAAGGCTCTTTTATACAGAAATTGCCATCATGACTGGTACTCAAAATATCTGTAGTGTTTCAAGACTCATACGGTAAACATAAAACTCCTACATTTATTCAGTAGTGTATACTCAATGGGAAACCAAAGATGTCAACACAGTTATTGAAGAAGATATTCAGGTAAGAGGAATGAACACTGAGGTACTAGATAAATCAATGACAGGTAATGAAACTTAATTGGCATTCTTTTTAAGGGATTAAACACATTAAAAAAAAAAAGTGCTTTTAACGCATAGTGTTAAATCTGTGCTGCCATGTCACAAAAATAGGCTTGCCAAGGCAGGTGAGGTGCACAAATGCTCCAGCGCCTCAGAACTGTAATCAAGTGCAACTATAAATAATACTGAAAAAAAGTTTACCATATGACCAGTGGATAATACTTTCAAGGCATTCAATTAGCTTACCCTTTGTAGTACTCTAAGCTATTCACATTGACAATCACATCCATTGTAGTGCTCACTGCAAGGAAGGCATGTAACCAGTTGTTTTGGCTAAAATAAGACAGGGAAGGCATTCCTTGGGTTCTACATAAAAGTAACCGTATTCAACAGCCTAATGGCAATCACTGACAGGCTTCTTAATTCACTCATTCATTCATTGTGTTGAAAGGGCCCAGTGGAAAGGGGAATAAACAAAAAAACAAAACCCAATACGATTCCAGTGGACTGAACTGGAGAAATGGAAGCCCCTTAAGATCAGATGGCACTTGGCTACTATTTTATAGTGGCTTTCCTTCAAGGGAAACTACAACACTGCCGCCCAGTTTCTCTCCCAGTGTCGAGCGGTCCTTAATGTCGTCCAATCCATTTACTTGCCACTCATGTTTAATGCCTAAAAAAGAAAAAGACACATCCATTAACCTCACTATAATTAAGAAACAATTTTTTTTCTGCACAAAACAGTCAATGTTTATACCTGTAAATTTCTTTTTAATGGCATCTTTAGAGCTAGCATAAATCATCTTGCTTTTTAACGGTGCACTTTCAGGAGCCCTATGGGGGAGAAAATGTTGAATTTCAAAAGGAAAACAAAGGCAAAAAACCGACTATGATAATAATAATCCTTGCATTTTTAAAAATACTTTTTTCTTTTGTTTTTACACACCAGAATATAAATACTAGGTCTTCTTTCTTAGACTCTTTTGTTTCGTATGTGGCATCGTACAAAGCATATCGCCAATCATTCAGAGGTAGCAACTTCACAAAAGATGTGTAGGGGTCCTCTACAGTATCACCAATGTCACCCACCAAGATCTGCTTTGCTTCCTCTACAATTATTTGTCTTTTGTCATCGCTTAAACAGAAGAGAACTGCTTTCTTTTTTTTTTTATCTCCTCTTGTGTAGAAGATTTTCTTACTTTCATATCATTAAAAACTTTGATGACTTCATCATTCACTGTAACTCCAGATGCCTGGAAAATAAACAAAGGACAGGAATTTAGTACAAGTATTTTGGTTTTAACCAAAATCACTGTTTGACTAACAAGGCTTCACTTCAGTCTGACCAGACCTATTAAAAAGCTGCACCAATCGTAAGCAATCCTATTAGACCGGTCACATTTACAGATCAGAAGAAAGATACGGCTAAAATTTCCAAACTCATACTGCCCATTCATCCTTCTCAAAGCGGTACAGAGAAAACGGCAAACGGAAGGTGGGAAGGGACAAACACGAGCTGACCCATGCCTGAAATGTTTCCTATTTCACTGGGTGATGTCAGAGCTTCAGGAGCAGCAGCAAAAATACCTTCTGCATTGTGTCAACTCTGCAGCCCTTAAAAAAAAAAAAAAAAAAAAAAAAACACTTCGGGATTTCAGTTAATGCTGCTACTATTTTTTTTTTTTCTTTAAAGTCATCCTCGCCACTGCTGCTTCCTCATAAGGAAAAGAGAATCAAGTGTAAACTCCGGCCGCCCGCCCGCGGCTACAGCAAAATGCCCCGCCGCCCACTGGCAGCGCTTTGGGAGTAACGGGTCCCGTGAAAAAAGCGTCCCCGGCGCGAAGGCGTTTTAGCGAGCGTTCCCCACCTGCTCAGTGTCCTCCTCACAGCGGATCTACGGCCTCCGGGACCCTCGCCCGAGGGCTTCTGGACGCCTACCAACCTCAGGGCAGCGCGGGGCTGCGCGGCACG